GAGGCCTGCATTGGGTCCCGTGGCCCGGCCCGTAAAAATTTGCGGCCGGGCCGGGCCGAGCCTGAAGCAAAATTTTATAACTGCGGACCAAAAATTTCAAAATTTTATAATAAATTTGGCGGGCGGGCCGGGCCAAAAAAATAGTGAAGACTCTGAATGCGAGTCTGTCGCTCCACAATCGGATACATCATGTAACCTACAAATCGGCTAAGTCGAAATGGGCATGTTTAGTGTTTGGAACCGGTTTTATTTTTCTTATGTTAAAACCGGTTTTAATCGGATTTAACATAAGAAAAATAAAACCGGTTCCAAACTCTAGGCATGTTAGATTTGGCGAGTGGCGAATTTATGATCATAGGTATTATGATGTAGCAAAAACAGGGAATTATCAGGAGACGAATTTACTCGATCACCAACTATTGTTTCCGTAGGGCTCAAAGCCTTTATTGTATAATGTTTTACACTGCCAATCATAAATAATGATAATTTTTATAATAAAACATAGTAACTATTGAAATTTTCGCTCTATAATAAATTTTTTTCTAAAAATTTTATTATAGAGTGAAAATTTCAATTGTTACTATGTTTTATTATAAAAATTATCACATGTTGCATTATTTATGATTGCCATATGCCCTTCTAAATCTATTAAACATGTTATTCGTGATAAACTCCTTTAATTTCCTATATTACTTAAAGCCCTTAATTATTATATAACCCATTAACTATAGTTTTCTCTTATTACTCTTTTATCTTCTAATAGCCTTAATGACTTTTACGACCTTTAATTCCATTTTAAGTAGATGATCAATATAACTATTGATTTTGTTATTGTGTTATATCGATCAGCTATCAATCAGATTTTTTTGAATGATCATTGCCAATAAGATCATTAGATCAGGTGTAATGTGAAAATTATGCTTTTTTTAAAAAATGACAATAACTAAAAATTTTGACTATGATTTGTTACTCGATTACCCAAACACTACAAAATACACATTATGGAATTTTGCCTTGCTGCTCATGTAGTTACTATCTGGTTTATAGAATTATATCTCTTTGTTTCTTTTGTTTACTCATTCCTTTCCATTCACCATCCATTCCATTTTGTCTCTTCTCTTTCCTTCCTGCCTTTTTTCTTTTCCTCCCTCTTTTTCTTTTTTTTTTTTTTTTTTTTTTTTTTTTACTATATTCTTATTTATTTCAGGTTGCTTCATTTCTATCCCGATGGTCTCATTACTATCCCAATATTTGAGCTGTTCACTCGAGCTATCATTCTTACTTGTTTATCCCTAACTCTCTTCTCTCAACCTCAGCAGTGGATGGATGGGTCTACTGACAAAACTAGATTTGCATCAAGTTAGTAGCAAAGACAAAAGATGAAGAACTACTTTTTATTCATATCTACTTATATATCTATTTTCTATGATTCCATATTTACCACTCTTTATTCAATTAAACTAACTACTCTTACTCATTACTAATGATGACCTCATCATTTAATTAATCACTTAATTTAACTTTCTTACTCTTAAATACTTATTCAACATCAACATCATAGTTGGATGTCATGATCTCGTGACAAATGACTGTCCTGTGACTTTATTCATAACATTTCATTTGTCACTCGATTACCTAAACACTATGAAATACACATTATGGGATTATCAAGAGAATCAATTATCTTTTCCTTCTGTTTGATATTGCAAATTAACATAAGCTCAATTCTTCATTGCCTAAGCTTATATTCAAAACCCCATTCTCACTGATGTTTTGCTTTTAGTCATCTCTACTAATCTCAAATATAACATCACGCTTTCGAATCTCATTTTCCAATAGCTTTTATCTGTATCAAGAACATTCTTCCTCACATTGCCGCTGTCACCCCACCTATCCTCAAGCTATGAGCTATAAACCTACTCTTAATCTTTGCATTCTCTATTATTCTCTTTACTACCAATGATACTACTACTACTGTAATTTCCCCACTCTTTTTTGATAAAAACAAAGGCTCATCATCCATCATATTTGGTCTTACCCTAACATATTTACTCAACAATCTTACTGAACAAATCCTATTTTCTATGCTCTCCACTGGTACAAACTTTCCATTCACAAACAGGTCATTCTTTGTCTTTCTAATTCTTATCCAAACTAAACCTGACCTTTTTTCAATATCCTTTACCCTTAACTTATACAATTCTCTTAGTCTCTTCATTATATAAAACCCTATCACTACTAGTACTGAATTCCTGCATCATATTATCAGATCTACCCCTTTTGGTGAACTATCATAATACCACCTCAAGGCCTCCAACAGAAAAAGGTCTCGCAGTCATTATGTCTCATGATCTTGAGCTTTTATTAATTTAATACTCCTTACTATCTCCTTAATTCTAAAATCATCCCCCAGGCCTCCAAACCTCTTTCTTTATGTATTCTTCCTATCATTCCCAAATATTTCTGTATTCATCACATTATGCCTATCACATCTAACAATCCCAAAAATGCTTTTATAGTATCAACATTTGGTGAACATTGCATTTCCCCTAACAAATCACAAAACCTCTCAAATCCTTTCTATGCTCTGTTCAACCTTATCCTATAACCTTTATTGATCAACTTACTAGTCAGATCATTAGTCTGACTCAACAAGATCTTTTTCATTCTATTTTTGCTGCCAATATCCTTCATGCTAGGTTCTTGCATGGTTCCCTCTGTCCCGACAGTCCTGGAACAATAATATCCACAGCTGAGGACAATTCTATTACCTCTTTGGGTGCTTCCAAAAACATTGGCCATCATATTGCCAATATCCATGCTGGCATGATCAGAATTAATTGTGCCCTGCATTCTTGACTGTGAGTTAACACTTGGTGTATCAAACCAAAAGGTGGGTACACATAATTTACTTCTTTCTCACAGTTTTGTGTAAAGCAATCGACTGCTTCTGTTCTGGAATAGAAATGCAGACTGTTGAAGTGCTTCTTTTTCATATTCAAATGACTCGCAAAACAGTCGATTATTACTATCCTCTATCTGTTTTCTAAAATCACAAACACCTGATCATCCAATTGCCAATCCCCCACATCCTATTCTCTTGTAAGACAATCTGCTGGATTTCTTTTACTTGGAATCTATCTGATCTTGTAAATCCATATGTTGTTTTTTGTACAAAACTCTTATAGCTGTCTTGCAATCTCTTTCTGCTATAGACACAGCCCTCCATACATTACTGTCCTTACCATGACCTTGTTGTCTATAAATAACATCACTTATGAATGACTCAATATTTTTACAAATGCTTCCAATGTCCACAACACTGCTAAACTCTCCAACTGGGCTATTTCTATAGACCTGAAAGATTTCAGCCAACTTTCTGCTGCCATGCAATTCAGGTATACACTGCCCCAATCTATCGTTAACACATCTACAAAGACTATCTTTATTTGTGCCAGTTTTCAAACTGGCTTGCCATTCCATTTTGCAACATTCACTTTCAACCACCTTATATCCTCTAAGACTCTGTCTGATAACTCTACCTTCTTGTCCTATTGATGATAACCTCAATTTACTGTATCTATTATCATATAGAACTCTAGACATTTTACTTGTACTGTCAAAAATGCTCATGCAAAACTCTGAATCTTTTCTGCTAGTAAGGCCAATCTCCTTGCTAGTATTGCCTGCAAACACTCTATTTTTATCAGCTCACTATGTACTGCCCGAATTTTCTCTTCTGACATTTCTACTACTTCTTTTACCATGTCTACTATTAACTCATAAATCTTTATTCTTGTCATCAGTTTCTAACATCCTTTGTCTATCACTCTCACGAATCTGCATCTCTCCAAATCGACCTTTACCACCCTGTCTCTTATTAATAATAATTTCCTTTCAACAAACTTGTTACCCAAATATCATCAATATGATTTCCACAATCTATCCCTCATGATTTCCAAGACCCTATCAAAGTCCTCATTATTTTTGAAAAAATCCAGAGGGACTGGGACAGACTGAATAGCAGAACTGTATACTGAAACCATTTTTTCCTTATTCAGAATTCCAAAAACTATTAAATCCAATCATTCATTAACACGTGGTGATACCTATCTCTCAGATCGAACACAATCACCCACTAATTCCTTCCAATCATTCTTAATAAACCCCCCAACTCTTCAAAACAAAAAGACTTCTTGGGCAACACCTGATTTAGTCTTTGCAAATCTATCATCATATGATACTGTTTTGGGCCTACTTTTGGCACTAAGAATACTGGGCTTACCTCTAACAAAAACTCTGGTCTTTCTTTTCCTACATGTACTATCCTTATCACATCTGTTTTCATCAATCTTTCCAATTCCTTCTCTACCTATTTTAACTTGTCTGTGACAACTCGAATTATTTTATCACTTTCTGGACTTAAGATTTCACTCCTCTTGAAAAAAGTGGTATTCTGTTCTTCAACCAAACCATAACTAAAGCTGTTGGTTTTATCACCCTTTCCCAATACTCTATTAACAACTTTAAATGAATCCTTCCTACCACCTTTTGTTCATCTTGATTCTTTTCTCGAGTGTAGTCAGCTCTTCCCTCCCTCTACACTCGTCCCTCAAAAGGGCTGATCAGATTTCTTTTGAGGGCATTCCCAGGCAATATGGTCTTTTTTTCATAAATAAAATACACGATTCCAGGATTTCTCATCCTTCTAACAAACTTGTCTTGAGTATATGCTTTAGGCCCCCCTTAACTCTCTTTTGACTGATTCCATGAATCATCCTGACTTCTACATGATCATTAAAACAAACCCTGATTTGCTCCATATTTGGACTAAATCCTAACTGCTAAACAGGTTGAAATAAAGGCCACTGCATGACCTGGTTTGATGGTATATTCTCTACTCCAACTGGTTATTTTGTAAAAGTTGCTCTTATTTCTGACTAACTTTCTATTCTTGGTTATTTATTCTTCACCACCTGTCTAACATTTGCTAACCTTTCCTAAAAATATGCTTCCATTGGATCATCATCCAAAGGATCATTAATCCCTGCTGCTATATCCCAACCCTCCTTACTTGTCACTCTCAACATAAACACCTAGTAACATCAACTTCTCGAGCCTTCACTATCAAATCCCATTCCTTATTCCTTATCACATTATCCAACAATCATCCTGTCTTATACCACTCATCATATTCAAACTGATCCTTCGCTTTTCTCATCTTTTCTTTCAACCAATATTTGTCTTTATCATCATGCTGCCTTAATTGAACACTTTTCTTAAATTTACTTACAACCTTCTCCATTATCACCTGAACTATTTTTTCCAAAGATCTTTCCAGGACTATATATTATAAATCAAACATCACACACTCTTGCAATCCAAAATTTTCTTCATTTACATCTAATCTCCTGTTATCTCTACTCTCATGCACCATGTTATCTAATTCACTATTTAACTTCTCTTCACACATATCCTTACCCTGACTGCTATTCTTAATACCTCTTTCTTTCACTTTACTAATCATCCTTACTACCAACCTTTCCACCAACTCTTTCTTACTTCCTGATTCTGACAAACCTTCACCCTTACACATCATTTTCAAAGTCTCTATAGACAACTGATCCAACCCACTCTTCAAACCCTGTTGTGTCACTTTTTGCGTGTTATCTTTTAAAGTATTATCTACTGTTGCTGTTGGAAATATTTCTTGTACATCACTATTATTTTCTATACTTCTCAAATTTTCTTTTATGATCACATGATTTTTGACAAAGCTAGACTTGTGTCGAGTTAGCAGCAAAGACAAAAGAGAGAGAACTACTTTCCATTCATACCTACTTATATACCCATTTTCTATAACCTCACAATTACCACCCTTTATTCAATTAAACTAACTACTCTTACCCATTACTAATGATGACCTTATCATTTAATCAATCACTCAATTTAACTTTCTTACTCTTAAATACTTACCCAACATCAATGTCGTAGTTGGATGTCATAATCTTGTGACAAATGACTGTCCCATGACTTCATTCACAGCATTTCAAATCACTTTCTGTGCTCTAATAAAAAAATTTTTCGTGAAATTTTGGTATAGAACATGCATATTGTAATCCCTATACCAACCCTAACATGAGGTTTTAGTACTTTAAAATATTACGCATATTAAAGTTGTTTTGATTATTCGAAAAGATCTGATTGGTGCATATACGACGGGTAGCTTTACTAGTCCACCATGCTTTGTCACACGTGTTCGCGGAATAGTCAAATTTTGTGCACTCCAATTGGCCATTTCCTTCAAGTGTTAGTAAAATAAGTGCGGCCCCAAACATGCCCCAACCCTGTCACGAGGACTCATTGAGTCCCATTTGTTTTGATCAAACTACAGTATTGTTCTATTAATTTCAAATGGGTTATAAAAAAACTTCCACTTTCTGCCGATTTTTTTCGTATTTGAAATTACAAAAAACTCTTGTAATGAAGTAATGAAAGTTTTCAAGAAATAACTTTTAAAGACCAAAGTGTTAAAATGTTTTAGAGGTTCAAGAAAATTTAAGCAGTTTCGCTCAGATACAATAACCAAAGATTTTGATATTGATAATATTACGAGCGAATCAACCTATGATCATATGATAAAAAAAAGTTCAGGTATATCATACTTAAACATAATCTAGCCACAACATAATCTAACCAGCGTAATATTTATTTTATTATACTTAGGAACAGGATTAGTTAATCAATGTTTTAAGATATGAACTTGATCGACTTAAGTTTAATGAAATATCGGTAAATTTAGTGAGAAATTAAGATTTAAGATTTATAGAAAAAATTTTAATGATTTTTTTTTCTAGAACGTTTTAATTGAATGCTCCAGCTTAGTCAAGAATGGATCAAAGAATAACGCGATGATTCTCTCTGATTATATTAACTCGATTATTCCCTACGAACAGGATAACTCGGTTATTTTCTATGAATAGGATAACTCGGTTATTCCCTATAAACAAGATAACTCGGTTATTTTCGATAAAGTTCCAATCCATATACTATTTATTCATTTATCCATCGGATATCTTAATCCAATAATAATTGGATAAAATGGATTAAAACAGATGGATAACCGAATAATTCGATAAATTATTCGGATTATGCAAGGGCTATCACATGATAACGGTTACTGTTGTCATATGATAACGGTTATTGTTGTTACATGATAACAGTAACTGTTGACAGTTATTATTATTAGGGGATTGCTACAGACACAGCTTCTCGACACAGCAAATGACTAGCACTAACCTTAACGACACAGCATGGCCTGCATTATTGTTAAGGTTAGTGTTAGAATATAGCAGAATTAAGGGAATCATATCACGTGCTACTGTGTCCCTATTATTATACCATTTTTCACATGATAACGGTTACTATTATTTATGATAAGGTAGCTGCACAACGCAGTCGCGCTAGAAACCAGGAACGAAAGGTATGCAAAAATCTTGTCTTTTTACATTAATTAAATTTAAAATTTATACATATCTATAAATGCGGGAGCAGAGTTTAGTCACTTGATAAAAATAATACTGATAATAAATATATTTTTACACCACTTAATGAGACTTATCCTGCTGTTCTTAGTAGTACTAATAATCAAATGATTATTAGTAAATAATTTGCAAATGATATTACAAATATTGTAGGTGGTAATTTTGATCAAAATTATGGATACATTGGACCATGTAATCCCAATGTTTATATGGAGATCAAAATATCTGGAAGAGGCTTTTTAGTAAATAGTAAGTATTATTTTTTCTTTTTTTAATATTTTTCTTATTAACCTTTGTTCTGTTATTATTCTGTTTATTGTAATACGTAGCAATTGATTTTATGTATATCATACCTATTCAGAAGGGTAGCACTACTTGTTATGCAGGATTTACTAACACAAAAGTAAGCCAATAAGAATCTATGTATTAAATTGTTTAAAATTATTTATTGTTAATTTTTCTGTTTTCTAAAGATTGTAGATATTCCATATGGGTTCTTGGAATTCCTTTTATGTCCCAAAATTATGTAAGTTATCAATTTTATAATATTATTTAGTAATTTTTGTAATGGTCTCAGCTAATAACAATTGATTATTTTATTTTTTGTTGCAGTTTATATGCGATGTTGATAATGCAAGCGTAGGTATTACACTAACATATTGGGGACTAGATCCTAACAAACTTCATATATAAAGTATTTTTGATATGTATTATTACGTTTTATTAATTTATCAATTAATTCAATAGATTCTTAAATTTAAAAATAGTTAAAAAAATTATTTAAAATTTAAAGTTAGCGTTAGTGTTTGTAGTCAACCTTTATTTATTTATTAACTAGCGCAATGGGTGGCACATTCGCGCCACCATCTTATTTTGTGGCTTTTTTTTAAAATTACTAGCGCTAGAATTAAAAATTTTATTAATTCTATTATAGTACATAATATGTAAATAAATTTGAATGAGTTACACTAGAATTATTATGATTTACTGTAAGAAATTCGGTTATTGAATTTACTAGTGGGGTATACACAGTGGTTAAAATTATTAGAATAACATAATCTTACCAAAATTTATTATAAAAAATTCAGATATAGAACTTATTCGCTATTCAGTTACCACAATATGCGGTTAAGGTTGACTTCGTTGCATTAGAATTACTATGATTTTGTTGTAATTTACTGTAAAGAATTTTGGTATAGAATTTACTTGCTAATGCAGTATACACAGTGGTCAAAGTTGAATTAGTATTGGGATTATCATGATTTTTGCATATACAGAACTTACTCGTTATTCCAGAGACCAGCATAGCGAACTTTTATTGGGTGATTTTTGCAGATCATCACGCCATACGATTTTCTGTCACGAGAATCACAAAAAATGGATACACTGCCACGAATACGAATTCGCAGAGGTGTGTTATAAAAATTTAGAAACTATGTCTTTTTCTCTATAAGACACCAAAATAATTTGGTATTCAGCGAGGTAATTCAGAAAATGAGAGCTACTTTTTGAGTATTCTATTTAGTTTGAAATTTATTTAAACTACTCTATTTAACCTTTTTTTTTATACTGTAGTTTCGTAAAGACGTTTACAGTTTATAAATGATAGGTTAGACGGTATATTTATCCTTTTCGATGTTTTTATTATTTTTACTTTTAAAAGACTTATTTTATTTTTTAGCTTTACTAATATATTTCATATAGTATATATATATATTTGATTTTAAATACTTTATTTGAAATATATAATTTAGTTATTTTTGTAAAAAAAATTATAATTTGGTACATTATGCACCATGGTGCACCCATTATACTTTAGATAAGTATATTAGCACATAATAGTTTTTTTAGTTGAATTACATAACTTTGTGTAACACATATGACCTTGTATAATATAACACATGACTTTGTATAACAGCATAATATATATCTGTTATATAAATTATATATATCAATTAGGTGTATTTATTTGGCACCCCTACATTCTGTGCCAGGTTATGTCGATCAATATGCAGTACAACGATCGACGTTGTAAATATATATGCAAAGTAGATAATAAATAAACTTTTAAATAGTACATATGTACGTATGTCGAAATAAATAGTAATTTGCATGTAGAATAATTTTATAGTACGTAGCAGAAATCAACTTCGCATTTACAAGCATTTATAGGTATGTTATAAATTGTTCATATATTCACCTACGCTATGGATCTTCCCTATATGATACTGCCAATCGCTGAAATACAAAATCAATTTTTTTTTTTTTTTAATGTTTTCAAAAAAAAGAAAAGTTGTTCTACAGTTATTTATTATTATTATGCCCATTAAAAATGCTTATGAAATTAATAAACACGTTTTTTTAGATCATTCTAAAAAATTTATATTCAAATTATAAATTCATTATTATAATAATTAAATTCCTGATACCATCAATTGCTTTATTTTTGCTTGTTAATTCCTGAATTGGCACATTAGAATTAACTATTACAATGTTAATTCAATGTATTATTTGAAATACTTGTACTCAAACTATGCCTAGTTTTATTTATTTTTCGCGTTTTATGTTTTGGAATGTCTTGAGGATCATTCTCCTTACTTGCACCAGCTCTTCATCTAATATTTGCTTTTCTTTGTTTCACAGATTCAGGTTGAACTCTAATCATGGCCCCACTTCTGATACATGTTGAATTCAGATTATGATCATAAAGAAAGGTAGCTACTCATCCAATTGATTGTGATTTGGCAGCCTTGTAGTGTTCAGCAAACTTATTGAATGCTTGTTGTAGTTGTAAGCCACCGATTTTATAATCATTATCGATTTCTTTTAAAAAGTTGGTGAAAGATGAACTATCAAACTCTGCTTCCTAATCTTTTATTTCACTAAATAGATAAAAATAATATAGCGATAGTATATACAATAGAATAGCTTAAATGATATACATATAACAAACCTGCTTGCGCCAACCTTATTTGCTAAAAATTCATTGAAAGATGAATTGTCAAACTCAGCTTCCTGATCTTCCATTTTACTAAAATAACATTTAATAGTATATATGTAAATTTTGTAAAAGAATAACTTAAATTATTGACATACAAAAATACAAACCTGAATTCATTGCTTGCGTCAGCACTGCATTCTGCTATTGATATAGTATTTAAATTATTGTCTTCATTATCATTTATAGAACTATGCTGATTACCAATGCAGGTTTTGTGCACAACGATGCATAAAAGGAATGATCTTTCACATGAAATCCTTAAAAAAAAATTATTATAATGTTACATGCATGTACATATATAGCATTCATTTATACTAATATTAATACTAACTATTTGCAATATAAGAAAAAGTCATGCAATCGTTAGGCATTAACAAAGATAAAAAATTGATAATTCTAATATGATACTTCATGGCCACAGCACCTTGGTGCTTGCATGGTGCACCTGACATTCCAATAA